AGTTGATTCATGAATAAGACACTGTTTTATTGGAAATTACATGCGGTACAAAAGTTTTGGGTGCAGGACAAAGGTTTCAGCTGTTATTACCAGTTCTCCTCAACTGCAGACAATCATGATATATAAAGATACGGTAACAGGAGATTGTCGAGTTGTATTCACATCTGATCTTTTTCAACAAACATTTGCACTTTACACTCAAACTCCAAGAATCAGTGACGTTTTGCATGATTAATTTCTTTCCTAATGGATTTCGTTCCTTTAATCTGTGGTGCGACATACTCCTAAGCAAGTTCATGCTGAAAAATTTGTTGACAACCCTGATGTTACTGGAAAATACTTTATAGTCGTACATTTTAAGAGATAGGCAAGTTCCATCAGTACATTGCATTCCGTTTTCCCGTTTTCATAATTATTATTATGAGCTTCTCGAGATGTATTTCGATCTCTAAACTTTACAGTGATGATGTTTCTTCTGGGGATAAGAATCACCGTTTTTGTTGAAATAAAACGAAATTCAGCTTCTTGAAAGGTGTCACTGATGAACATCATTGTTCGACGTTAAGATTAATGGCTAATTTTTAAGCGAAGAATTTTAGTGTATCTGATGTGGAAATACCCCAAATGCGTTCCTTGCTTCACCATAGCGGAAAATACGTATTCGAAACTGCGAAACGGCGCTGGTATTACTTTTATGATTCTTTTATATGCATCTGTATTCATAAATACGAGTATTTGAAATTTTATTCCTAGTTTTCTTATGTCTAAAAATAATTCTTTTCCTCCAGTATTAACCAGAGGAGTTATAATAGCTATTTACAGTTTTTTGACAAAGGTCGAATTATTTTTTTGGTACGGATCCAATTGTATTAAGAAATTTAGTGAATTCAAAGAATCCACTTCACACTTTATCTTTCTATCCTTATTCCTTATTAAACGAGTTGTTATTATGGATGCGCATGAATGCAAGCGAATTTTCCGCTCGATAGTATTCGATGTTTTCTACTTTCTGTTTCCATCGCTGACCAAGCAGTTTGACCATCGGATCATCACAGCGTGTTCTTGAACCACCGACTCGTCGTTGGTAGTCCAGCAGAACCCAGTTTGCAGTTATTGACTTACGTCGATTGTCTCTCAGGTGAATCACATGTCACCGTTGAACTACGTAAAATTGGTGTTTAAAAAGATTTTTGTGGTAATGTGTTGCCGGTGTGTGGTGTTAAAACGCTTCACACAGAGACTAAATGAGAATTTCGAGCCATCCATTTGATCTATTACCTGAAACAAAAAATGAGTAGGTATAACTGTTACTCCAACAGACAGTGAATCAATATTCCGTCTGTGTCGATGTTAACCAATTCAGAAGTCATTATTCAGTCAAATGTTTCTAATCCCTTGATAATTTGAGTTTGAAGGTTAAGTAACTTTATCATTAATGATACTTTTGATATCTGTTTTAATTTTCCAGTCCTTATCCAATTTTAGATTTAATGTTACCAGGAATTATTTTATTGCCGCAGTCATCCGAAGAATATTGTCGATTAGAACAGTATTCCGCTTGTGTAATTCAAGTTGTTGATAGCAAGTATATGACTTAATTGATTTCTTTCAGTCTGATTATTTAATCATTATAGTCTACCCATTGCCGTCGGTAGAACTGTGATGTCTTGGCCTGAAATGCTTGAACATAACATGCGTGGCAAAGGAGTGGAGATGCTTCATTTTTATCGTGATTGCTTATGGTATGCATTTGCCAAGAGATATGTTCGATTACTTGTTCATGCCTATATTATTATAGGGAATATGGGCCTAAATCTGAAATCCCATCAGTTGTTGTCCCAGAGCTGAAATCTGATGTAGAACAGGATTCGATAATTGATACTTCAGACGTCACCGCGATTGACTCTTCGAACTCTTTGAATGAGGATGATTCCGCAATCCGGAATTACACCTTGGCTATTCTGAAAAAATTACGGACCGACGAACTGCCACTGTTGGTTAGTTCGTTTTTTGGCGGAAAGGTTTTGCCTTCGATTCCAGATGGCAAAAAAATAAACATTAAGCACACAAAGTATAAGAAGTTTTCTTCGTTGTTGAGCGAGCTTCAAGAAGAAGATGTGGTGAAAGTTGAAAAAATCAAGAATGTTGATTTCATTACATACGTTGAAAAATCCCACCCTGCTTTGAAGGAAGTATCCTTTGAAACACTGTCTTTGAAAGAACCTTCGGTGAAACAGTCAGAACCTGAGAATAAGGCGATATTCTCTGAAATGCTTGTCGTAAATGAAGACTTGTGCCACTTGTTGAAGTCTGTTTGTCCGAATGTACAGAAAAATAGCAAAATGACATCAGCGGATGTACGAAGGTACGTAACTTTGTACGTGCGGCAAAAGGGTCTTGCAAGGAAGAACTGTGTTGTGATTGATGACGGTATTCATCAATGTTTGTCAAATTATAGAGTTTCCGAGAGGTTTGCCGTTGATAATCAAGTTACATGGCCTGAATTTTTTGAACAGTTATTTCAGACGTTGAAACCAGCTCATGAAATACACTTCAGCGATGGGCATGTGGAAAGCCGGAAAGGCCATATTCCTTCAGTGACAATTTCCGTTGCGATGAGGACCGGTAACAAGAAGATTACCCTCATTAACAATCTCTCTTCCCATTGCATTGATCCAATACAGTTTGCCAAAGATTTACAGCAGCGAGCAGCAGCAAGTGCAACGCTGAATAATGTTCCACAGTCTGTGGGGCCTCAAATTCAGGTGCAAGGGAACAAGGTCAATTTGGTTCAGAAGATTCTAATGGAAAACTTTAATATTGCTCAAAAATTCATTAAATTGACATAGGATGAAAGAAGTTGACGCAGGCGTTTTTTGTCGATACAGCTAATTTTTTAGGATATTCGGTTCAAATTTCCCTCGGCTTTCAGATTCGCATTTTGTTACATGACTGATTTTTCGTGACGAATAACATTGGCCAAATTTCGAAATGTTTCAAAAAATAAATGAACGATACAGAAGCAACGAAATAACACGATAGAAAAATTAAATTGTCGGTATTTCTCTCTTAAAGTGTACAGTGGCAATATCTTCCATAAAACTTATTCACCTGTCCATCATTGTATTGCAGTGCACCTGCTCTTCAGTGTATTGTATCGACCGTTTCACCGGCTCAGTCGTCTGCAATGTGTTACTAATAGCCGCGCAGACTAGTGAAAAACTTGAGGCAGTCTCTGAGAATTCGGCAATTTGAACCTGCTTCCGATGGGAGTGTAGGTGCATGGCAACGGCTGCCGAAGTTTGACAAGAAGACGAAAAAATAAATAAGCAGCGTAACCGCCATCTCTTTTGAATGGAGGAGTCAGATTGCGCAATTCCATAGCACGTCAAATTCCTCTAAAGTGATGCTGTCAGTGAAAACAGCCGGAAATTCCAAAATCCATTTCGCCATTTTCACAACCAATTGAAAGTGAAAATTCTCTGATGATAGCTTTGTTGCCGGAAGCCAGAACGTTGGAATAAAAGGGAAAGGAGGGTCTGGTAGTCTGGTATATTGCCATAGCCACTTGCACTCGTGGAGAGTATTCCAGTTGTCCATTGCGTTGTTTTTTGAATTAACTTTACATTATTTCAGCAAATAAAATCAAGATTTTTAGCTTGAAAGTATCGATTTGATGCTTTTCAACAGCCAAATCATACTGCGGTAGGTTCTGCGAAGCTAATGCTTACAAAGTTTCGCATTCTTGACATAACGCTTAAAGAAAACAGCTCGAAGAACAAAAATCTACCCTTCCCATCTGTATGCCTGCTGCCATCTCTCTTTCGCCATGTCTGAATCCGCCTACAGTCTTTCAAGCTGACATTTCGACATTCAGTCTACAAGAACAGTGTACGGCAACACCTTTGCCTGAATTTTCATTTAGAGGAAAATTTCGTGGTTGCTGACTTTGCTTAGCAACCCGGAGGTTTGAAAATTACCTGCACTCAAAGTTGACTTTGTGGTCATTTAAAGGATCTTATGATTAGCACTTGGCTGCGATGGTTTGGGCACTTGTTGCGAATGCCTCCAGAAAGGAAAGCGAAACAACGACTTCTTGCCCAGTCAACTGGCGGAAGATTCAGGGGACGGCCAAGGTCAAACTGGTGCAGGTGTAATGAAGGAATCTTCTCTCGACTGCGATTGCCTTTTGCTGAAGCTCTGACGCTGGCCAGGCTACAGGAATTTTGGAAGCACTGTGTCGTATCTGCCACTGCCACCCGAAGGGAGAAGTGGCCAAGGAAAATAGATGAACTGATCAGGGCTGGTTTATCGTGTCTATCAATACCTAATTTTTTAAGTATTTTTGAAGAGCAATATCTTTCGTATTGACGCTGAAGAGATAATTTTGCATTGCGACTATGCGCTGATTTTAGATTTCATAAAAGCCAAATATTTTATAAACTGATTATTGTAACCGTTTTTGCAGCTTCTTACTGGAGGAAAGTTTCTGTAAATCTGGCTACTTCGAAAGTCGGAGTCGGAAAATGACTTTCCTATTCCTGTTGGAGATCGATTCGGCATGCGCTTGTATATTGCAACTGTTTTGCCTTAATTGAGCGTCAACTTCAAGCATTTGTCAGTATCTTGGTTCTCAAAGTGATCAGGAATGTGATGGGCATTACCGACCGACCGATTTACAGCGGGTAACGTTACCAGCAACAACGCGTCGGAATGGCGAAGGTTCATCGCTCAATAAAGTCAGACCCAACTCCACTTCTAAAGCAAGCACAAGATTTGTTCGCGATGCTTATTTCTTGAGGAATGTCACTGGAGAAAATGGCATAGATTAAAACAGAAATAACATCGAATAAGTGAATGATTGTACCAGATCAAAATGAACAAAGTAATAGCAACAATCAAGTGGTGCATCGAACAACAGTCTAGACATTACGAAAAATATATAAGCACAGAAAACCAATACATGTCGAGTATACTTATGTGGAACTGCCTAAGTGGATCTGGATATTTGCGTTTCTCACTGACAGTGGAACTACGGAGTACCGGTAGAGCTTCATTCCGGCGTGCACATCCAAGTCATTAGCAAGAGGACATTAATTTCGGGGATCTGATGGAAGGACGAAGAGAGGTACATCGTTGGAAGTCGTCATTTAGGAATGTGTACTGCCTACTAAGCAATTGCAGCCTCCCTATGCAAAACTGCGAGATCAGTAACATTTTATTTTATGCCACATAAAGGAAGACCGCAGTTGGAATGTCGGCCTTCCTTCACTTTCATGATTGAGCCCTTTCGCCAACCTTCTTTTTTTATGATGTTACTGGCGCGATGTTGATCTATGCCACCAGCTATGAGTGCTTTATTTTAAGTGCAGAGTCTGCAGCCATGTGGAAAGCGTAGCGTGCAGTGCCCTGTTTACTTTCCACAGTGAGAAACTCATCTGTCAACCTCGAAAGGAAGAAGGGCGAGCGACCCCGACTGGAGCATATCCTTTATATCTACCAGTTCTGAGTGCTGTACTGACTGAAAAACTCCTGCGTGTGTTGCAGTTAGAGACAAAGTTTAAATATACCACGAATTTTTTAGTAAGATTCCAAAAATTCAAAGTTATAGAACTGGCGTGAACCTTGAAGCTTCTGCATGCTGCACCGATT